TGGAACAGAACGGTAGATCCCTGGCGGCCATTCGCATGAACCACACCAACGAATGGTCCTCGATGGAACTAATTTCAGCATGAGGAGTTTGTGTGTCTCCGTCACCTCAGCGGTACATAACCATGAATGTTATGGAACTATTTTCGGCATGAGGTGACCATGGTTTTGAACCACTTTACAACCCGCCAGGAGAGTGCTTTTTGGAGGGAAGTTGTCTGAGACTAAGGGGAACAAATGCTATCTGAGAGCCAGCCGGAGCACCCCGTATTGCAGACGCAGGAGCTCCTGAAAGTTGACCGGCAAAAGAACCAAACACCCTGGAAATGTTTTGGGCATAGGAACATGTGTGGGGCCGGTCAGAACTTTAACACTGTGGATTCCCCAACACTGCATGGATCTGAGCGCTTTTTGGAGAACTTGGGCGCTCAGATCAGGGCTATTTCGGATGAATTATTTGTGAGGTTATTGTACATGTTTATGATGTTTTGGGGTATTATTATGTTTTACATTTTTGTGTTTGCCTCTCTGTTCATGGGAGATAATTAGCTTACTGGCCTTTAAATCACTTATCTCCCAGGCACAGAGATCTTTGGGAGGGGCTTGCATTGTGTGGAGACCCCCTGCTAGGGGTTGTGCATATAAGCAGGCAACTTGGCTATAATAAAGCAGTTCTTTTTCACCCTTCACTAAGACTGGGCTAGTGTTTGGATGAATCAGTTATACTCTCTGCAGGAGACTTAATCACTTGAAGCTGTACCCAGGACCCTGTTCCAGGGCTGGAAGCGATGGAGAGACCCCAGCAAGGCTGGGACAAACATATCTGAGATAGAGGGTTACTCTAGGCTACATGCCCACTTCAGTGATCAGAAGTGATTATGGTGCCTAAAATCTGTATGTGCAGCATTTCGCTAAGAAACAATGCATATATGGAGTTTAAACCCTTTGCTGCCATGGTAGGCCTGGGATGGTTAATGTCAATATTGTTCATATTTCTATGCACAGAGTTGCCTTCCTTTGCTGACCCCCTGAGTCTGGTAAATCGATGTTCCTCACTATTGTCTCGTTTTCATATTTTATATGAAACATTTTCTTTGGTTTTTGGGAGTGACATTATATATATATATATATATATATTCTCCCAGAAAATAGAATAATTCAATTTGTGCAACTCTTCAACTAATTGAGCATGGGAAACTTTTCCCTAGAAGAGTTAAGGGCCAAACACCCACTGAAACCAACAAAGACTCAACATTTAACAGCTTATGGAAACGGGACAGCTGGAAATGTTAGTCTTGGTGGTAAGTGCAGATAAATGTACTTTTTTTGTCAAATGAAACTCAGAGAACTCTGTGGATAGTATACTCATGTAGAGCATGCAATTCAATTTAGTGGTATGAGATATAGAGGCTCCTGAAATTGCAAAGTGTTGAATCATGTATTACTGGAGCATAAATCCATATACCCTACTTTGCTGGAAGTATACTCTTCACAGTCTGCAAGCCTCCTCAGCCCCACATATTGCAGTTTCCCAGAAGATATCTCAGTGGCCAAGTCAAGACCTGAAAAACACAAATCCTCACTCCACTGAGTTAGCAAAGACCATGAAGATTGTGGTTCTTTCTATACTGGGGGAAAGGAAGGTTCTGATTATTTTTATGCTGGGTTAATGAAGGTTGTGGTTCTTTCTGTACTGGAGAAATGAAGATTACGGTTCCTTATATACTGGAGGAATTATGGTTTGAGTTCTTTCTATCCAGGGGGAATAAAGGTTGAGATTCTTTCTTTATTGGAAGAATGAAGGCCGTGGTTCTTTCTATACTGAGGGAATGAAGGTTGGGGTTCTCTCTGTACTGGGGGAATGAATGTTGTGTTTTCTGTACCAGGGGTACAACGTATCAAATGCTCTCCTTTATGTCCTGATTTCTACTCATGGTCTGTTCATGCAGATTGAAAGCAAATTCCCTGTACAAATTCATGCCTAGACTTAATACAAACACAATAACTTCAGCATTTCCTTTCCAAAATGATTAAAGAGTAAACAGAGGATACTGGCACTGGGCAATGTTACATAATTCATTAGTTGTTCGTTATTATTACATAATGTGACCTAAATACATGATACGTTGACATATCAGAGTACTGAATGTCCTCCTGCATCAACTGACAGCAAATTGAACAGGGCCATGGGCAACATTACCGAGACAATATTTCATGGTTACGTATTGGCAAGGAAAACATGTTAAATCTTTACACAATTTACTTTAATCTAATGGTAAAGAAAATATATATTTCTCATTGGCGCGCAACTGAAAACATTTTTTTATTCACATGCACAATTTCAAGTGTACAATGTGGTGTTTCTGACCTGACTGAGCCCCTTTGTATGACATGCCTGCCGTGTTTAAATGGGCAATGCTGAATTAGTTATGGTAGGAAAACTATGGAGAGTACAGCAGAATGATCACTCTGCACATGCATGGACACTGACAAAATGCCTCTCAGACCATTTTGTAAATATTCATCTCTCAAGCTGGCCATTAAGGTACTTTACTTCTAGAACCTAC